ACAAAATTTGAGGAAGTAGACAGATCATACGCCGTTAGATGATATTAACTCATTTTGTTCTCTCCTATCTTAGCCCTTCTTTGAACCTTCCCAATCTCCATTTTCACAGAATAATTGAAAACAGGGTTACTGCTTGTGCTGATTATTTCATTGGATGGCTAGCTACCAGGTGGGTAAAGGCGAAGTGCAGAGTCTAAGAGTGCTCGCATTAGACAGCTCGGCGACACCCTTCGTCTATGCTGGTATGACTAGACCAGAATTTCATACTGTACCTGCAGTTCACAAGCCACTGACTTACTTCCTGCTTGACATTTTTCGGCTTGTTACACTAAATCAAGTGGGGACAATTACTTCAGGAAAATTGTTCGGATCTATAGTTCAAAGTTGAGCTCTTTGCCATTGTGCCACAAGTAACGGCCATATACAGTCTGAGCAATCTGATGAATTGGCTATAGAACAGCAGAATTATAAATCGTAACAGACCAGAATCGCAATTTCAGAAACAGCTATGAGATGCTCAACCGACCGGCTGGAAATTGGGGAGAGGCCAAACTTGACGAGGAGCACTTGATAGACTCTGCTCCTTATTGGGGTGATTTTCTGTCATGGCTCAAATGCTGGCATAAGATTGGGAACGTTGGAGACATTGTCTGACGAAACTGCCTCCTCTACTCAAAAGGATGGGCAGTTATCAAAATTGGCTGGCTGACTGACCTCAGAGTCATTTATCTCGACTTACAGGGGACAGAAATATAAACTCGGTTGTGATTTCATAGTAATGATACCAGCCACTAAATTTCCTTACTATAATGCATACTAATAACACCAGTCACCGAAACGTAGTTCACGATGAACATGAGGTTCCTTGTAGGAACAAAATGAGGCGATATGCATTTACTACTACAGATACTCCAATATCATTGATCTGAAGCCTGCTGAAATGGTCCTCCTGAAAACGGGATGCAATTCACCCCATAGCAGATTAGTTTTGAAGAGCACTGATAGCGAAACGTATGCTAAAGCTGCAGTGGAGTTCATGGCGTGCGTCTGAGGCGACGAAATGCGGTAACTCTGTGTAAACTATGCCAAAGTAAATTCGAAGGACTTCCACAGAAGTGTGAATTGAAGTCATTTTAAAAACTCTTATTCCTCCTTATTCCTCTGGCGTGGAAATATTTTATTGTGTGGGCTACTGGACAAGAAAATGTTTTAACCGTCAGAATATCGATATCTTTCATAATTCCACGAAGGATGTCATTTTTTGTGCCCCTATTTTACGGAGTTGATTTTGCAACGATGCTGTCAGCCGACAGTTTTTCATATTAATCAAAACCTACAACTATGCGACAGTGGCATCGCGGATAGTATACTCCTGAACGATATTCCGAGAGGCCAGGAGAACCATTTCAAATACGCTCATATTGTGTTTGTTAATGGTGACGACGTTGTTCCCCAGATGAACTGATATATTTTTCTGACATCAGCGAATGTTGGCAAGCTGTGCGTAGAGACATACGTAGAGACATACGAAAATCACCATTTTGAAATCAGCCGTATTGCGGTGCTGCTCATGTGTCATTTTGAACCTCTGTTTTCCTGAAGAGTCATGAAGCTCGTCTAGAGAGCTTCAAATAGCGCTGTCTGCATAATATTCTTACTGTACGATGGTACCCCCGGGGTCACAAACGAACAGATCGACCTGACCTGAGAAAAGCATTAAATGTACTCAGAGACAGACGCCTGTCTTGGTTTGATTAAAACAGTCCTAAGAAGGAACGGAAATGTATTCGACGCTTTATCGATTTGGAATCGTGTATTAGCCGTAAACACGTTGGAAGACACAAAACAAGGAAACGCATCGCTGAGGTAGACCTCAGGTGAAAAGGAATATGACCTACGCAGCACCAGTGATCATTTTCATCTGAAGTACCATTTCTGACGGTCAGACATAAATCCGGATTACTCTGCTGATTAAGCTGCGCAAGCCTTTGATGAGATGACCAAACAACATCTATGCAACGAGTACGGTATTCAGCCTGTCATTACTTGATTGATCGTGAAAATTGGTCTACTCCGAGAAGTGGAACTTTGTCCGAAGATCTACATCAGAAAATGAGGTAGGGCTCTTGAGGGAAAGGAGTTCATTTAAAGGACGAGTGCCTGCACACCGGATCGACATTTAGTCTAATGAACAGCGACACCGTGAAAGAAGTTAACTCACCATTTAAACAATGAATAAGCTGCATTTGAGATGCCATTCAAGATAACAGTCAGCGGATAATTGACATTCAAAAGGCAGACGTTATTCTGGTACAAATTTTACACTTCTTTGGCATCTTCCGTCAATTTGAAAATGAAATACATGATACGCAAGGCATGATATGTCAAAGATATATGTTCTGACAGATGTTGGTCTCCCTTTCACATTTATTTGACAAACTACTGAGTTCGCGGAACACTCGCTAAAGAAGCGCATAGACAAATCTGCCCACTATCTTTCTGGGTTTACTTGCAAAAGTCAGGTTTTGATATTCCAGCTAGCATAACTGGCATCTATGGTTTTCTAAATTCGCTTTGCAATGTTCAAAAGTGTTTGCATTCGACCCAAGAAGGTGAAACAGATGATAATAATGCGATTTTGCATCATGCCATAATGCCACCAGCAGTGAGCTTCTTACAAACCCACTTTCTCACTAGGTGCAGAGGGAGGGCACAATTACTAGGAGCAGGTTTAGGATTTATTGCGCAGAAGAGTACATGAAGGATTTTACAATGGCACTGTTGATTTGTGTAGTACTGTTGACGACGGTTGAACTGCGTACAACAGCGTTTGCTTCGATGCATAATGAGGGCTAAATGGCAGGACCACGAAAAAATGACTTTATTCACTTCTGGGTACGTGTGACCTCAGTAGATGTTGAGTTTTAAAAATGTATGTTGATCCTGTTAAGCAACTGGTTGAGCACAGCCCATTTGCTTTTCATGTAGGGACCA